AAATTTCCTGTACCTCTTTCCCCGGTAACAGCTAGTTTTTATGTTATCTTGACAGAGACCAAAGTCATTTGGGAAGAGAGAACCTCAAATGAGAAAATGCCTCATCAGATGGGCCTGTAGGCAAGCCTATGGGGCTTATTCTCCATTAGTGATTGAGGTAGGAGGGCCCAGCCCATTGTAGGAAATGCCATCCCTGGCCCATGGTCCTGAATAGTATAAGAAAGCAGGCTGAAGCCAGGCATAGTGGTGCATGCCTTTAATCCCACCATTTGGGAAGCAGAGGAAGGCAGTCTATGAGTTTGAGGTTAGTCTGACCTACATAGTGAGTTCCAGGACAGCTTGAGCTACATAGTAAGGGCCTGTTTCAAAAAACAAAACTGAATAAAACAGAAACAAGAAAACAAAAAAGAACCCTAAACAAAACAAAAAATAAATAAAGAGGAAAGTTGGCTGAGCAAGCCATTAGGAACAAGCCAGTAAGCAGCACTCCTCCATGGCCTCTGCATCACAGTAAGCAGCACTCCTCCATGGCCTCTGCATCAGCTCCTGTCTAAGTTCCTGCCTTCCGTTCTTCTCCTGACTTCTCTGGATGATGAACTATAAGATGTAAGATTAAATAAACCCTTTCCTTCCCTAGCTGCTTTTGGTCGTGGTGTTTTATTACCATGTTTTATTATAGCAACAGAAACCTTAACTAAAACTCATCCCTAAACTGCAAACTTCATGAAGATATTTATGCCTTTCTTGTGTATCATAATAACCCCAGTATCTACAGTCTCTGCAGAAAAGACATCTGGATATTATATGGGGTCAGTAGACACAGGGTGAAATGTAGGGTATCCAACAGAGAAGATTGCTCATTCATGGGTTTAAACCAATAGAAAGTCACTAGGCGGTGACTATAATGGGTGTTTGGGATCCCAGTGAGGTCCAAGCCTTTCTCATGGTGAGCTTTTAAACACACACACACACACAAATACACACATACAGACACACACAGACACAAAGACACACAGACACACAGACACAGACACACACAGACACACACACACCCTGGGATGACATACTTTAGTTAGCAAGAATAGTTAGCTAGAAAAAGAACTACAGAAGCCATAAAGGAAGGTTTTGAGACATTTAGATACTTTCCCAGAACTATGTGATGGATTAGGCCTTTGTTTTCATTTTGCAGGTGGTGCAGTCCACGTGCTGAGTTTTATGGCTTTTCTGGCACTTCCACCATGGGGTCAGTTATGATAAGGTCTAGGGGCCCACTACAGAATGACTGAACTAAATGAACAAGAATGAATCAGAGTAAAGCAAAATTTATCCTAAATGGTCAAGAGGCCAGGCATGCACACTGCTGGTGGTACAAGCTCTCATCTTGTCTCTGGTGCTTTCACTGACCAGGGTGTATGTCAACATACAGTGGGGAAACAAGTGGTGCTGTAGTTTCAATGTTGGTCTCAAAAGTCAATTTGAAACTTATCATTGTAGGGGTCTTAAGTGGAAAGGCCTTCAAGAACTGATCAAGTGAGGAGAGCTCTGACAGTGGGTTTATCTATCCCTTTCCCTCTTTCTGATCCTGTTTTTCTGTTTGGTGTGCCTACCATACCCTTCTGCCATGTTATTGTGCACCAGGAAGGCCCTGGTCAGATGTAGGCTTGATCTTGAATTCTCTAGCCTCCAATAACAAGAGCAGAACACACTCCTGTTGTTTGTGGTCCACTCTGTGCCATCATGTTATAACAGCACAAAGCAGATAAAGATGCTTGAGAAAAGGAGTCTTTCCTAGTACCTCAAACTAGGCTCTATCTGGGGAGGCATATCTTGGAGCTTATGGTAAGCCTTAAGCTTATGGCCAGAGCAGTCTTGGCTCTGAGACCCCTGAAAAGGCTTCCATCCAGAGGTGCACAGTTCTGCTGGCATCTCCTGGCTAGAGGACTCTGGCAAGACTTTCCCGACCTCCCTGGATGATTCCAGTGCCTTTTGGCGGGTGATCATTCTTACTCTTGGCCATTTCCACAGTACCTTTATAGCACAAAGTCAGCAGAAAAGCTTCCTTCACCATCAATGAGCTGGGCCTGGGCCAATGGACTGTTGCCTGTGCTAGCTTCTGAAGTCACATCCATACTGCAGGACACATGATACAGCCAAGTGGGTTCAGGTGAACATCCATGATCTCAGACCTCAGAACCTCAGACCTGGTCCCCTCCTTTGAGGGAAATGGATTTTTCTCCTTTCTGATCTTATCCCTCTTATCTAGATCTTCTGGAGTCCACCAATTTTCCTGTTCCTCCCTTCTGTGTCATCTCTGGGTGTGGGGAGTTCAGAGTAATGTTTTCCAACTCTGCACCAAATTGTAGCTGTCAGTTTCTCTAAATCAGTAAACATGTCCATATATACATACCCCCATATATAGACATGCACACAAAAAGAGGCAGCCAGTGCTTAAAAGGACCTTTTCCTAATTTTTGTTAGTGACTAATTATGTGGCTTTAAATCATTTCCCTCAACATGAAAAGTCACTTCCATTGAGTGCCTACTACACATCAGGCAGGGTTGGTTAGAACTTAAACTGTACTATCTCCCTCAGTAAACACACAACTTACTGGGTATGTCTAAATAACTTTATTGTGAAGGGTAACAAATCCAGAAGGTGCCTAAAATGTGCATATGAGCAGTTATCCGCCATCTTACCCTATAGTATGTATTACACAAGTCTGTTATGGTCATTCTCTCTCTCTTTCTCTGTCTCTCTGTGTCTGTCTCTGTCTCTGTCTCTCTGTGTGTGTGTGTGTGTTTGTGTGTGTGTGTTTGTGTTCAAACCAGGGTCCTATTCATGCTTGATAAGCACTCTACCATGGATCTATAGATCCAGTATCCCTTATTTTCCTATTTTTGGATTTGTATGTGATGTGTATGCTCTATTTCAACAATCTCAAGGACAAATTATAGACTGGATGAGTAGGCTTTAGTTTCCCAATGAAGTCATGTTTTCAGCCTAGGTACCTTTTGGGCAAAGTGAAGAGGAATGTTCTCTTATATGATCTCATTTTTGCACTGTACACCTCTTGAGTGCCTACTTCCTGGGTAAGCACATGCCAAAGTACAGTGTGGTTTACCACTCAAAGGGGCTCCAGAAAACAGCATGTATGCATGAAGGTTATGGATGTGTGCAAGGATTCAAAGCCAAGCCAAATCAAACCATTCTCAGCTATCCAGCTGCATGTGCCTAGCCGGAAGACGTTCCCCCAGAACATGTAGAGAAGGTTGGGTTGGGTGAGGTATGCATAGAGAAGGAATGTTGACCCCAGAGGAGGGTGCTATACTCTAGTGCCACACTTCAAGTGGCCCCAGGTGTTATAGAGTGCTGTCTTACAGGCCACGACAAGGGAGTTGTCCAGTTGTACTCTTAGCAGCTCTGAGAACATGAGGATAATCTAGATTGGGCCCATTAACATCAATTACAGAGGGAGGAGGGCTTCACAAGGCTCTGTCCTTCCTCAAGGATAATAAATACACAGACCGGTTTCTGGAAGAGAGGGACTTTTCATTAGGAGTGTAGCTGCCTATAAGTTGATAGTGTTCCTACAGATAAATATTACTTGTGTTCAAACTAAACTCACTGGTTCAAGAGACTTGGCTAAAATCGTTTCTTCGGTCTGTGGTTTGTTTCCTATCTGGGTTGAACAGACATTTGTTCATTCTTCTCAGAAAAAGGCCACACAACGTGGGAAACTCCATTCTGCTCAGGACTGACCTTTAACAGCTATAGATCAGGACAGTGACAGGTCTTAAGGGGTATGTTCCATGGAAACTGTGATTCTTAACATTCAGATACTCCTATCCCATAATCTACAGGGCTCTTTGAGGGGTGGGGTAAGTCAGGGTTACACTTTGTAGCCTTGGCTGTCCTAATAACTCTCTATGTAGACCAGGCTGGCTTCAAACTCAGAGATCTGCTTGCCTCTGCTTCTTAAGTGCTGAGGTTAAAAGCATGTGACACTACACCTGGCTTTATAAGGTTCTTAATGTCTCAAAGTATCTTCCAATAGAACAGGCACCTGTACAGGTGAAGTGCCCCTGCCTGTCAGGGAGACCAGTATGGATGGATTAGGTAAGGAACCCAATGGAATAACTTATCCATTTCTCCCAAGTTTGAGTCTATTTTCCAAATTCAAAGGGTACTGTTCTCAGTTACCCAGTCCTTTCTTCTGCCTCATAGGGGATGGGGAGGCTCTGGTCTTTGCTAGGCAAATAGTTTAATGTGGAATCCCAGCAGAGAGGCCAGAATGGGGAACTGGCTGGTAGAGGCGTGGGTTTGGATGGGGATGAGTTGAACAATGTCCTAATTTGTTTCTGCATCACTTTCCTTTTCTGTAAAACATACGGACATCGAGAAGGATGTAGTAATCATTCCTATCTTATATGTAGGAAACCCAAAGCTCTATAAAGTTAATGTGTTCAAGAATTCCCTCTGGAAAGTCGTTGAGATACAGTCTAACTCCAGAGTTTATAATTACTGATGGATCACTATTGGGGTGGAAGGGTACTGGTCGGACGGGGAGACGCACAGTCATATTAATATAGATGTCCACTGTTTGATGTTTCCCAAGGTGTCAAAAGGAAAGTGTACTTTAGTACGAAAGGGACTGTATGAAGTGCTGGGGATGAGCAGGAAGCATGAGGAGCCAGTCTACTTCTCTCTTCCTCCCTCTACCTCTTTCCCTGCCTCTGGAAGGCTCGGAAGAGACAAAATCACCACATTAGCGCAGGCCTGCAGCGCCAGCCCCTCCTCGAGGATGCCCAGCACCCACTCTGCAGGACGCCACACATCTCCCTGCCCCCAGCAGCCAAGGCTTGCAAGAGGGAGGAGGGCTGCAGTAGTTGCCACGGTTTATGCTTCTCCAGAGCTTCGAAGCAAGATTTCCCCAAAAAGCAATATTAAATAAATAAAAGGAAATTCAGCAGATGGGAACATGAATCAATGAAAACTCCCATATGAGTGCGAAGATTTATGTCAAAAAAACAAAACATCAACATCTGGGAGCTGCCGCGTCTCCTCTTGGTTTTTCGTTGGGAATGGATTCTTGGTGTCGCTTTCCCCCTCTTTCTGGCTGTGAGAGAAGGCAGGGGGGAAAAGAAGAAAAAAAGGGAATGAAAGCCATTTTTAAAAAGTCGTTTTAAATCAGAAACGAAAGCCCGCTTCCCCCACCCCTACCCCCTCAAGGCTGGAGGGGATGTAGTGCAGGCGGCAGAGCTGTGGGAGCCTGGGACTGAGAGCCCCCTGCCGGACGCCGCGGGGTGCCCCTGCCACCCGACCCGGGCAGCTTGCGGCTGCAGCCTGCACAGCTGCGGCGACCGCGTGCGTGCACACGCACTAACGCCCTCCGCACTGCGGTCGCATCCCACGCGTGTGGAAGCCCAAGCCAGCAATTCTGTGACAGCTTCTCCAGGCGGTCAACCCCACCACTCATCCCTGACCTGCGGGAGCCAGGGTTACCAAGCAGGAGCCTGCTTGCATTTGGCTCTTTGGCTGGACCACACAGGGATTTGTAGGGAAGGTGCTGGGTCCTGATGCCTGGACTCAAATCTTAGCTGCTACAGCCCGCTGATCGACTTTGAGCAGATTTACCTTCCTGAGGCAGCGTGGGAATAAGAGTACCGGGTTCCTAGAGGATTGTGGGTGGTAAATGACAAAAGCACACAAGGTGCTTAGCACAGTGTACATATACACAAAATTGAATAAATGTGCGCTATTATCCTTAGGACAGAAGCTCACGTCTCTCACTGTGGCTCTGCAGGATTCGTGCAACCTTGCAGAAAGAAGCCTTCACACGCCCTGTCACTAGGCCCCAATTGCACCAACCTTGTCTTTTACCCAACAGCCCTGTTCCCTTCTGCCAGAGGCTTTCTGTGGAGGCCTTTCATCTTCTGCTTCCACACAGCCTTCACGTCATCCAGGAGACTCTTAGTGCTTTCTCCCTCTCCAAAATGTGCTTTCTTTATTAGAGCCTAGGCTTCTCCTTCCTTGCAAGGTCCCTGGATGAAATCTATCCTTAGACTGGTTATATGCTTACTGTCCATCAATTTGACAGTTTGCTCCAGAAGGTCAGTAGTATAATCTACTGTGGTCCTTGCTGTTTTCTTGGCTCCCCAGGCCAAGCCAGTGGCAGTAGTTTCTTCAAGTACAGTAAATGATCAGGATGGAAAGTGAGCCACTAAAGCCAGATGAAATTTTGAGGACAACTCCCTCCCCCGTCTCCTCCATTCTCCCCACTCCTCCTACCCCTGCCCCTCCACTTTCTCTTCTTGAGACAGGGTCTCAACTTTGTAAACCAGGCTGGTCTTGAACTTTGCCCCTGCCTCCAAAGTGCTGGGATTAAAAGGCACACGCCACCACACCTGGCCTTTTCTCCTTTTATTGTTTTATGTACACAAATACTTTGCCTGTATGTATGTGTACCCTGGAGCCTAGTGCCCACGCTGGACAGAAGAGTGTGTCAGATACCCTGGAGTTATGAATCACTACATGGGAGCTTGGAATCAAACCTAGATCCTCTGCAAAGGCAGCCAATGCTCTTCACTGCTGGGCCATTTCTCCAGCTCCTGTATCCTGGATCTTCTATACTGTCTCACCAATTCCTTCCAACAGTAAATTCATATTCTTATTATCAAATATGCATACCAGGTCCTGTGCTGGGCACCAAGAACATAGACTCACACAATTTTATCTTTGACTTAGTGGAACCCAGGTCAAAAGTGGAAATGGACATCCAAACAGAGGGCAATACAGGTGGGAGACAGACAGCAGAGTGGGGGTGGGGGATCGTTAGCTCCAAGAGGTAAAGGTGGACCAAGTTGGGTATTTTCTCTACATCATCATGGTAAAAATCAGGGCCAGTATGAAGGCCTATCATTATTCCCCACTGCACCCATGAAGCATAAAAAAGTTAAGTCACCCAGGGCCACAAAGACAGTATTGGCAGCGGGGGGTGGGGGGTGGGGGGTATGTAGGGGGGGTGCTGAAATGGGCGGGTTCTGACTCAGAGCCAGAGCTGTGAACTACTTAGCCATGCTGCCAGAGAGCAAACAGCTGTGAGGCTGCCTGCCCCGCCCCCAGCTCTGTGCTGGTGAGAGTGGGAAGTACAGTTCCAGCTGCAGGAGTGACACCACCCAGAAGCAGGCAGGGAGAGCCAGGCTGTTGGACCTGAGGAAGTCCAACACTGAGCTCCACACATAGAGACTAATGAGAAATGCTCCTGAGGTGCAGAGGGGTCCTGCAAGAGCCCAGTAGACTCAGAAGCACCTCTGGTTTCTGGTTGCCAGCATTTGAGGAAGGCTTCTGTCTGAGCCTGGCAAAATGCCCAGAGCATACGTGCGGCTCTCACCTCCTGCGAGTGCTTCAGATCTTGCTACATCTCTTCATCCCCCCCCCTAACCCCCAACATCTTTAAAGGCTGGATTCCGGTGCTCCGTGCTGCTCCTCAATGGCAGCCACACCTAGATCCTCAGAGTTAGTAGCGCAGGCTTTGGGAGCTGGGAGGGGTAATCCTGCCTCAGGCACTTCTGAGCTGAGGCCTGGCTGAAGTCAGACAGGGCTTTCTTCAAGGAACTGATGAGACCACCTGTCTTTTTCAAGTTTTCCCATCCCTCAGCACTCAGAAACCTGCATCCTCCTCAACATCTGAAATGTCTTTTTTTTTAAACTACATTTGTTGAGTGTGTGTGTGTGTGTGCATCAGTGTGCATGCAGTAACACATGCATCGAGGTCAGAGGACAGCCTGCAGGAGTAGCTTCTTTCTACCAGAGGGTCTCCTGTATAGAACTCTGGTTGTCAAGTTTGGTGGCTAGCACTTTCATCTGCTGAGCCATCTCACCAGCCTTTCTTTCTTACTTAAAAGAAATGTTTCTTAAGATTGATTTTATTTTATGTATATGAGTTATCTTGCCCCTATGCACCAGTGTTTTTTTTTTTAAAGATTTGTGTATATGTGTATTTATTTTATGTATGAGTACGCTGTCTTTATGCACACCAAAAGGACATCAGATCCTATTACAGATGGTTGTGAGCCACCATGTGGCTGCTGGGGATTGAACCTGGGTCCTCTGCAGGAACAAAGAGTGCTCTTAATTGCTGAGCCTTCTCTCTAGCAGAACAGCTGTGACCTCAGATATCCAGTGTCTCAGGGGAAGTGGCACAAGAGACACATTCAAGTGCCTGATGCAAGAGGGTGAGGTGAGGGTGATTTTAGCAGGACCTGGTGATCAGCTGAGTGTGGGAGTGTCTGGCACCTTTGGGTGTCTGTACAGATCACAAGAAATCCACAAGCCAGGCTGGGGAGGGGCTCTCTCAATCTGTTGGATCCCAAACCCACGCTTCTAGTCTTTCTTGGGTCCAACTCTATCCTGCTCTTAGGAATCATTAATGTCCCCTGCCCCACCCCCCCATACTGATGCAGTATTTACAGATGCTAGCTTCAGTGAGTCCCTGGTATTGACAATGACAATGAAAACTAACATTGGGAGGAAGAGAAAGGTGCTGAGTCAACCCAGAGTTCAAGGTCTCTGTCTTCCTGGGTCACTTGGAGAAGTGTAGACAGAAATAAGGAAGTGGGGTGGTGAGTCTTTGGAGGTAAGATAGAAGGAGTAACAGGGTCAACTCAGTCAATACTTCAGGTCCAAATGTCCCCTAGTGGCTGATATAGTGGGCTCTGATGGCCCCAGTGTCTAGGGCAGCAGAATATGGAGATGGAAGGCGATGACAAGGTTGAAATCAGGGATTCATACAGAAATAAGAGGCAGCATTCAGCTTGAGAGATTTGGCAGCGAAGACAAAGAAACAGACTGATAATTGAAGAAGCAGAAGGATCAATTAAAAGACTTGGCCAAGATAGGGAAGGCCTGTGTATATTTCATAGGCGTAGTGAAGAGATGCAAGCTTTGGTATGAAGATCAGGAAATTAGAGTACAAAGTTGTAGAAGAGACAGGAAAGGAAGGGGACTGAGAACAGTTTGTCTTAGAACAAAAAAAGCTCAAACTTCTCAAACTGAGCCTGGGTTCTTGTCATTTCTACTAAGTCACAACCATGCCCTATATTTATTTGTATGGTGTGTGACTAAGTCCAAGTATGTTCCTAACAGCTCTCAAGTTCCCTCCATCATCATCATCATCACCATCATCATCATCGGGAGTACCACTCATTGTGTTTCCTCGTGAAATGGTTACTATCTTTATTAGTCCCATGTAACAAACAAGAGAAGTGAAGGGAAAGATAATTAACTTAGGGAGATAGCCAGGCGGTCAGTGGAAGCACACAACCACTGCTCTTGTGCACAACTCCCTGACACTTCAAAGAGTTGAAAATGGCTGCCTCCAGGGAGCTAGGCCAGAGGGTAGAGAGCATGCAGTAGAGGTCTGATGCTCTTTGATAGAACCCTTTAGTACTATTTGACTTTTTTACTGGAGTAGAAACTCTCTTAATGACCTTCTGTGCCCTCTTCTACATTCCCTTTTCAGTGGTAATGAGAAGGTAATTTCAATTTCATCTATCTTGTTATCTGAGGTCAGTGGCACGCTCCCTGCTCCTGGCCAGCAGGTTCTTCCTCAGCGTGCTCCACACCCAAGGATAAATTGTCTGGCCACCTGACCAACCCCATGTCCAGACTCCTACCAAACAGCAGGTTTCCTGCAAAATGTTCTTTTCAAATTAAATGAAACAAAACGAAACATTTGTAAGATGGAGTTTGCATTTAAAAAAAAAATCCTGAGAGTAAAAAGCAAAAAGAATTGGTATCAATGTCAAGGTAATATGAGGTTGCTGGCTGAGAAGGGACAGGGTGACAATGAGGACTTGACCTCTTTCCTGGATCCAATTTATCCCTCTATACCACAGATACCTACCTCCCCCCTCCCCCCCCCCCCACACACACACAGAAGGCAGAGGAGAAAGAGTAGGAAGAGAAGGAAGAGGAGTTGTTGTCACTGTCATCCTATATGGGGCTCCTGCACAGCCTCTACTGTAGAATCTGCAGGTCTCCAAAGGAGTTTCCTACACTCATGGCCTGGTGTCTTCCCTTCTATGCTAATTTAGGGCTGGTTTTCTAACTCTCTTTGCCCCTCAGAGTGCATAAGAGCAACAGTGCAGGTTCCAGACCTAGTTCTTGAGACACCCAACAGCTCTACTTGCGTACCCTCTGAGTAATGACGTTAAGAAGTTCAGCTGCCCAGATGGAGAGGCCATCTGGAGTCAAGAGGACCTGAGACTCCACGCAGAAGATGCCTACCCTTTCTGTAGCCTCAGTGGTCTTCACATGACTCTGGTTCCCGACACTATCTAACTCCAGCCTCATGAGACTCCAAGTGAGACCAGAAATATCACCCAGCCGAGCCCCATCAGTTTACAGAACTAGAGACAAATAATGACTGTTTAAAGCCATAAAAATCTGGAATATTTGTTATGCTGCAATAAATAACAAAAATGCCAATCTGTATTTTAATTGCCTGTTGGCTTTGTTTGCAGTACTATGTTGTTTCCTCAGTGAGGGTAGAAGCCATATCCTTCTGTTTTTTATAAATTATCTTTATTCTTGAGAATTTCATACATGTATACAATGCAATATGATCATGTACACTTGTACACACTGCCTGCTTCCCTCTCCAACTTCCCCTGTATCTTCCCAGAACATCTCCTTTTCAACCTCAAGGCTTTTTCCTTTGATAGCCCAGAGTTAAATTAGCACTGCCCTTATGTGCACAGCATGCACGGGACACCCCACAGGTGACCACATCCTCAAGAGAACATTTCTCCTCTCCCAGCAGATACCAGCTGCCAACAGTTCCTCAAATAAGGTGTGGGGCCTGGAGAGCACCTCTCTCAGCTATATCAGAATTTCAGCTGGCTCGCTCTTGTGCTGGTAACCATAGAGTTCATGAATGTGATAACCATGTCACGTCTGAAGACAGCACTTCACAGCATCCCTCCCATCTTCTGGCTCTTACATTCTTTCTGCCTCTTCTTCTGACATCTCCCCTAAGCCTTAGGGGGTGGAAGGTGATCGTTTAGGGATGAGCACTCAGTCCTAAACATGACACCAGGCCATGAGTGTAGGAAACTTCCTTTGGAGACCAGCAGATGATTCTACAGTAGAGGCTGTGCAGGAGCCCCATATAGGATGACAGTGACAACTCCTCTTCCTTCTCCCCAACCCCGTGTGTGTGTGTGTGTGTGTGTGTGTGTGTAGAACTTTGACCAGTTATACATCTCTCTTCATTGACTGCTGCCCACTGTATGAACAAGCTGTTTTAGTCTGCTTTGCTGTTGAGACTGGGTCTCCTAGGCCGCCTATAACTCACCGTGTTGACTAGGTTGCCCTCAAACTCATGAGAATCCTACCTCAGCCTCCCAGCCTCCTGAGTGCTGGGTTATAGGCCTGTGCCACCATAGTGGGCCACATGTATTTTTTTTTTAAAGTTGTTAAATACTCTTAGCATTCTCTAGCACTGAATAAACTCTCATAAACTTGATTGGTACAAATTAAAAATGTCTAAAAAAATAAAGACAACAACAAATGTCTACAATACTCCCTGTTGTGGGAACAGAATGGCTTGTATACACATCATGAGAAGTGATTTACTTGGTACCTAGACAATAGGTTCTTAATGACAACAGCTGGTCTTTGTAGAAGGATTGAATCAACTTGACTGTGGGCCATGATCCAAAAACAGAGTGTGAGGACAGAAGAAAGTGGCTGATGACTTCAGGCAAAAGTCGGAGTCGCTCCAACAGTGTTACTGTGGGTTGCACTGAGCAAGTGAATGGATGTGAGGATTCCAGAGACCTCCACACAATTCATATCAAGTAGTTCACAGGATTCTGGGGGAAAATAATGTTCCTTCCTTCCCCCTGGAGGATAGGAAACCCACCAGAAACCACATCCTCAAAAATACAACAATTATCCCTCTCCCAGCAGAGATCAACTGCCAACACTTCCTCAAATAAGGGGTGAGGCCTGGAGAACACCTCTCTCAGCTATATCAGGATTTCAGCTGGCTCGCTCTCATACAGGTAACCACAGCTTCTGAGTTCATGGATGTGACAGCCATGTTATGTCGTGAAGCCTTCTAGACAGTGTCTTACTGGCCTTGAACTCTCGATCCACCTGCTTCAGTCAACCAAGTGTTAGGATTACCAGTGTGTGCCACCACCCCTGGTCATAACGCCATTTTGTAAATGGGGGCAGGTACATTATTCTCCCTCTCAGGCCTCCTCAACTAACTCCACACAGGCTGAAAACTAAGTGAAAATATGTAGAATGAACACGTTTGTTGCTCAAATCAGTAATTCCACGATTAGGGTCTGGTTCCTCTGGCTGTATGCGGTTAAGAGACGCTGTGTAAACATATTTTGTGGGCTGACAGCGTGGGTTAAGTCCCGTGTGGGACATAAAATGGGAAGATGCCATCCCTGCCCTGAGGGAGTAAACTGGGGAGACTACACTTACACAGATGAGATAATTAAATAACAGGACAACATATAATTACTGCTAAACTGTGTAGTAAAAATGAAGTGCTCCAGGGATTGGGGAAAGCAGAGAAGTGAGGCTCCAGCAGTTGGGGAGTCTTCATTGCAGACCTGAGATCTGGCTAAGCCTTGCGGAAGGAAGCCAACTAGAGACAGGCTGAGAGGAAGAAGAACACAGAAGTCCCAGGAGAACAGAGCCAAGCCAACACACTTGTGGGTTTATTTCAGGCAGCACATGGACTACAAAAGGTGTCCCAATTCCCCAAGTAAGAACGTTTCCAAACAGTTCCCCACATTCACGTTCCTGGACTCTCATTAGGTTTCCTCTGCTGGCAATGCCTTTCCCCTTCTCCCGATAAACTTGTGTTTAAAGGCCCAACACAAACGCAAACCACACATCTGAATCCTTCCATGATACATCTCTTCCCACTGCTCATGCTTCTATTAAAATACCATTTACAGTTCCCTGCCCACCCCCTCCACTACTATAATTAATACAAATTTATATTTCTTGGGCACTTCCTTTGTTCCAGGACCTATGTAGACATTTATGCCGTTTTGACTCTCGCAGCTGCATAAGGTATTGTTTTTCCCTACTTTTCAGATAACAGGCTTAGTGTGCTTAAGCATTCTGCAACAATAATAAAGCTAGGAAATCAGAAAGCAGGTATTTGTGGGACTAGAGCCCATTTGCTTTTCATCAGTGCTAGAGATTGACCTTGGCCCTGTGAAGGACTGGGCAGGCCTCTGACAATGAACTACAGCTTCAGCCCTGCAAACTCTGTTCTCTCTTTTTGAGAAAGGATCTCACTATAAAGCTCAGAATTGCCTGGACTCATGATGCCTTGAATCTGAGATCCTCCTGTCTTGGCCTCTCCACTCCTAGAGCTATAAGCCTGTGTCAGATTCTTTTTTTTTTTTTTTTTTTTCTTGAGACAGGATGTCATGTAGCCCAGGCTGGCCTACAACTATATAGCTGAGGACAACCTTGAACTAATGACCCTCCTGTCCCCACTTCTAAAGGCTTATGTCACCACACCTTACTTCAGTATACTCTTAATGTACTGGAGCCATGTATTTTTGGAGACTACAAATGCTCTTTATCAATCTGTCTTCTCCTGGAACGGTGGCTGACATATGGCTTGAGAGTGTTTTACAGATAAACACAACTTTCACACCACATGACTGGGGCTAAGACTAGGTACACCCAGTACTCCTTTACCCCAGACACTTCCACCCACCTAAAAGTCACATACTCCAGGGCAAGGGGAGAGGAAGTCTGAACACCTTACTTTTTTTCCCCATAGGACTCCAGAGTGCTCAAAGTGGGGCCAGTTTACAAAAACTACCATCGGCTGAAACTGAACTCCCAGCTCAGACTGACCAGGGCCTGTGAATCCTTAGGGATTTTGAAAAGAGCAGACACTCAAAAGCCTCAGCCTGTGGGAACAGGAACAAGGAGCCAAGATTACTCCAGCTGACCCTATCCTTGCACAGAGGCCCAGTAAATAGAACCTCAGCAGGGCCAGGGAAACAGCATTACACTGTTACCTTCAGCAGCCTGAGTTCTCCATAATTTTTTAGGGACTTAGATTCAGGCCAAACCAGGATTCCTGGTATAGAGGATTAAAAAGAATTTCAGGACTAGCCACTGTGAAGAGCTGGAGGTTTTATTGAAGATAACCTTAACATAGGCATACTTGAGGTGTAGAAGGGGCACAGGGAAACAAAAGCAATACATACCAACGTGTAAATACGGACTCCTCGAGAGCTGCCGTGTTAGCCAGATACCTCTCTGGTGGTTAAGTTACATCGCAAAAGGTTGCTAAGAACCACTCCGCTTCTCTCTCTGTTAAGTGAACTTACAGAGTGGTTCGTAGGATGGAATTACAATGTGATAAAGTTAAAACCAGGCGCCACAAGGGGTTTAGTATATGTCCTTCACCTGCAAATGTGTTTCTGGTGAGATTCCTAAGGAAACAATCGTTTGTGACTGCGAAGCGGAGAAAAGGCCTTAACTGTTAACTGCGCTGGAATTCTTGCCCGGCCGCTGGCAAGGATTTCCTCTGCCTACAGCCTAAATGTAAAGAGAAAAAAAAACGGGCCAGAGCTTGAACCTGGTGGCAAAACTTGCCCTGGGTAATTCGGCCCACCAATCAGCCACCATTCGGATCCGCGCACCCTCGAGGCTCCTACAATGGCGACAGAGGACGACACCTTGGCCCTGGTCCCGCTTCAAGTCCTTCTATCGCTCACCTCGCCAGCGCCAAGCCCACCCCATCCTCCACTTCCTTCCTAGAGCGTCATCCTTCCGGCAGGGCTCCTTACTGATTGGCTAGCTGGGGACTCGGCCCGCTGGGGACTGCGCAGAGGCCACTCTGGTCCTTGTCCTGTCCTTCGGGCCTCGATCCCTCGGCTGCAAGCTCTATGGTGCTGGCCACGACATGTGGCGCCTGGCAGGCATCCTGGGGAGAGGTAGGGGGCGTCTGCAAGACGAGATCCAGCAGGCGATGGACTCGTAACTACAGTGCGCCGAGATCCCCGGGAAGGCCGCCATAGCGGCAGTGGGTGGGCTTAGGTCTGGGGAGGGCGGGATATAGGGAGCGAAGCTCCATTCAGGTGTCCGGAGCCGTTGGAATTTGAAACGTGGTAGGACAAAGTGGGAAGAAGGTGGAGCTTAGATCCAAGGAGATGGGTGGAGCTCTAAGAGGGAGGAGTCAATGAAAGGAAGCCAATAGAAAGAGGAGGAATTTAAACACACGTGCTCAGTCGAGTGAGACTGGTTCTAGGACAGAAGTAGCCACTCCCATCAGAACTCCGTGAGAACTTTTTCAAAATAAACATGCTACGTCCACAAGAGTCTTGTTTTATTCGTTCTGGGGTGGTGCTACCCTGCCATCCCCACTACGCTAAAGATTTCTGTCTGTAACCTTGTTTAAGAACTACTGCAAGGGCTAGAGGGGCAGGCTCAGTGGGTTGAGGGCTTGTCTAGAATGTTGAAAGTCTTGGGTTCCATCTCCAGCAAATACTGCACAGACAATATCAGTGATTCCAGGGCTCTCAGAGTAAGGCTTCCTCAAAGACTAGAGGGAAGATTGTGAATGCCCTCTTTACCTCAGTTTCTTCCTGATGGTCTGACTGTCCCTTGTCCCCACAGCTCTTCCCCGCCTGCTGGGACCTGGTTTCCGAGGGGTAACACCCAAACCCACAAGTTCAGATGGGCCTCAGACAACCTCCACTACCCTGCCGCTCCCTAGGCTCAGCTTTGACAGGTAAGAGACTGACATTCTGTCACATGTGATCTCCTGTTCCCGATGTGTACAGAATGTAATAGTCTCTAATTGCACCATCTAGATCAGGTTCCCATGGTTCAGAGAGGAACAGGGACCCAAAGTGCTGTGGATGGAAAGATGCCTTCCACTGGATGTCTGCTCATGTCTCCCCAAACACTCTGCGGGATGCCATCTCATGGGTAAGACTTCCCCAGCCCTGTCCTGTACCTTCAGCATAGATGAGAATGAGCTTGCATGGGAGAGCATCCTAGTCTAGAAACAAAGCTAACATGTATTCACATGGTGAGGCCTGTGGCCCTGAGCATGTTTATAGAGACATTGTCATCCTCCAGCCTATGCCATTCTTCTCCATTTGACAGATATTTACTTAACACTTCTGAGCTAAGCACTAGGGACAGAGTAGAGAACAAGGAAAATATAATTCTTGCCTTCATGGAGGTTAGCACAAATTATAATAAATATCTGATAGATAGCATGACTTACCAACATGAGCTGTTATGTACACATTATCTTGTTTAATATTTACAAAAATCTTGCAAGGGAGATTTAATCTTCATTCCATACACAAGGACACTCAGGCTTTGGAATGTTAGTAATATATCTGAGGTCATATGGCTCTTAAGTGGTAGAACCAGATTTTACCGGCCTGACATTCAAACTGAACCACATGGTCACAAGTATACCACTAAAGTCACCAAGTATACCTTATAGAATCACCTAATTCAGAGTCTAATGCATAATAGCTGCTTGATAAATATTTGCTGAACTTGATCTTTAAGGTCGGGGATGTATCACAAACATTAAGTCTCATGCTGGGTGGTAGTGGTGAAGGCTTTAATCCTAGAACTCTGGAGGCAGAAACAGATCTCTGAGTTTGAAGCCAGCCTGATCTACAGAGTAGGTGCCAGGACAGCCAGATTACACAGAGAAACCCTGTCTTGAAAAACAACAAAAAAGCAACCATTAGGTCTCACAGGGCAGTCTCTTGACCCTGCAGGCAGTGTTCCATGGAGAGATTCTAGCTGTAAGGTATTCTGAATGAATTAGGTACAAATATCACTCTCAGGTCTTCTGCTTCCCAACCTGGTACTTCATGCTCTTTACTTTGGGTGAACAACTTGACCACTCTGAGCCTCACTGTTTTTCTTTTTTTTTAAAACCTGCCATTTGGTGTCATCAGTAGAGCTGCCATGGAGCATCTCTGTGACAGACATGGCTATCAGGGTTTCTGTTGACTGGAGGCAGAGTATACCATAGAGAAGGGAGTATTTTTACATTCTGTTAAAGATCTGAGCCCTAGGTCAGTACCACACTGATTCTATTAGGGAACTAGGCCTGTTGTAGCCTACCATACAGCTCTCTAGGTTGTCATCTCTAGGTCCTGTCACCACCACCCATGTGGAAAGGCCTGCGCACCAACTGTCTCCAGCACCGCATATACGTCACCTTATGAAGATGCCTTCCTAATGATGGCGCCTTGTTTTTCTTCCTTCTGGCTGCAGCTCACCCATCAGCCTCATGGGAAAGCTTTACATCACTCTTTCTTCTCAGGCTCTGTGTAGCCCTCTGGTTTGTTTTCTTCTAGGTGTTTAGCATAATTGCTGGGTTATTGTATTTGTTTCTCTGTGCCTTTGGGTTTTGTCTTTTTCAACAAAAGCTACAAATGACATACATTTGTCATGATATACATCTATGTCATAGATACAGACAGCTTCTGTTTTGTTTGCTATGGTGCATGGTTCCTGTGGCAATGAAGAAGTATTGAGGTTTCTCTAGCACAGCACAGGAAGCTAGGGGCGAGCAAGCAGCCCTTGAGATAGGAGCTAGCTCAGCTGTTCTGTGTCATCTTTTCAAACTTCCCGTTGTACATGTGTGCTCTTGTGGCTCGCTTGGGTGTTCTGACTTGTCTCTGGATTTTAGGCTAAGCTCCAGTTTACCACAGTGTCTCTGTGCCTGCCTAGATCCTTTTATTCTGTCACTTACTGGCACATGCATTCAATATGCTTTTCTTTTAGGCACCTACTTTCACTTAACACTGCCCTGGGCTCCAGGGACACCAGAATGTGCATGGTCCATAGGCCCTGCCTCTGTCTTGCTTACAAACTAAACAGAAGTGACAGACCCTAAGTGAATAATTGAGATGGACTACAGAACACCAAAGGCCAGGCTCAAGTGCTGTGAAAGTACATGGTGTGGCACTGCCCCTGTTAGTCAGGGCAGATGATGAATGACCAGCAGGGTCTATGTTCCTGATGGACTGCTCTCTTTCCAGGGCACTCTGGCCGTGCTGGCCTTGCACCTGGCAAGGCAGATCCACTTCCACGCTCCTCTGGTAGCAAGACCTCAGCCAGCTGAACGCTGCTCTTGGCACAGTCCCCTGTACCGCTTCCTCTCCTCTTCCTGGTGGCATCCGCACTCCTGTGAGTTTTCAGTCCTAAAGGTGCAACTGGAGCAGGCTGGGAGTTTTCTCTGGGCCAGGAAGTATCTCTGGCTACACCTCAGGAAGAGGGCCATCAGCGGCTCCTTGCATTTCCTATCTAAAGTCAGAGGAAGGGGAGTGGGGAAGGGTTGTCCATACTGGGTGTGGGCCATACTGCCCCTAAGTGTTCCTCAGTGTCCTTCTGTCACCTTCCAGAGAGGAAGCCCCAAGGCCTAGGCTGCTTTAGACCCTGGGTGTGGCTTCCTGCCCAATCCTCAACTAGTTAGGTTCAGTTCTATGGTCAGGTCACTCTCAGGTCACCCTTGTCAGTAACTCCATCTACTGTGTATGTATTTTAGGTTGTATTCAAAGAGCCTATAGCCTCATGATTGAGGCTCTGGAGTTGGATTTTAAGAGTTCAAATCCCACAGCTACTATTTACTCACTACTCGTGTGTCCCTGAAGAAATCAGTTTTAATCTCCCTATACCTCAGTTTCTTCATCTGTAAAACAGAATTATAGTAAGTGATACTGTAGGGATTCTTTGGCAAGACCAAATGAGATACTGTGTGTCAAGGACTTAGCACTGTGCCTAGCACATAGTATACATTTGACTATTATTGGTTGGCGCATACGTTCTTGTCCTGTATAGCAGACTGTCAGTGTTAGCATTAAGCAGAGAGTTGGATGCTAGGCTACGATAGTGAATGAGGTAGGTACTCCCTGCCATTGTGAGAATTCAAGTGACTTGTGCTCAGGACAAGACACCAGCATAAATACAGATCCCTATAGAGGAAGGCCAGCCAAAGTGGAAAAGGAAGAGTAGAAAAGAAGTATCTTAAGAGTTTCACAATTCTTCTTCTGGCCTCCCAAATCTCAGAGAGACTGACTAGAAAGCCCTTCCGCCACAATCCCCTAGCACTGATCCCTTTCTCATGTGACCTCTTGCTGGCTCCCTCCAGCACTTCGGAGGCATGTTCTTCCCAGGCCTGACTGCCCAGTTTCCAGGAACACTGGCCTCAGGGAACCAAGGCTGGGCCAGGAAGAACCCTCAGCTCGGTCCCAGTGCCTTCCTTCAGATAGCTCCCCGAGACCTGGCCTCCTGAACCTACCTGAAGAAGGTATGACCTCACCTAATATCTACAGAGCAGGGAGAGGCTGGTAGATGGACTGAACACCCACAAAAGTGGGAGGGGCTGGTAGATGGACCTTTGTTGCTCTCTATGTCCAGGTAACCAGTTGTCATTCCTTTGAGGCCTCTTGCTTTCTGGGGTAACTGAGAGTTCCTGGACATAGATAGGGCAGACTGGGGGAGAGAAGGGAGACGTCACACCCTTCTCTCTCTGACCACCTGGGTGTTGGCCTTTCCCTTGCAGAGCCCAGTGACTTTGGCTTCCTGCATGCTAGCAGGGACTTCACATCTCAGGCAAAGGCAACCGAGGCCCATCCCCCTGGAGGAAAAAATGTATGGTCCAAGTTTGGTACCCTGGATGCCCACTCCACTCTTGGGGCGGGTGGAGATTCAAGTGAACCATTCCTTGATGCTGCTTTCTCTTTCTTCTCCAGGAACAAGACAAGCCCAAAGCTCTTCCTCTGGAGGAGGCTGTGACTTCCATCCAGCAACTTTTTCAGCTCAGTGTAGCCATCGCTTTCAACTTCCTGGGTACCTGGTTCTCTACCTCAAGGAAGGAGGATGAGGAAATGGAAAGGGTGGGTGGGAAGCAGAGTAGAGAGTGGTTAAAGTGAGAGGTTTATCTTCTTGGGAAGGTAGACCAGATGTGGCACTGAACCAGGGTGGTTCAGTGAGGTCAGGGACCCATCCTTGCTCATAAAGGTTC